GTACGTTACTCATAATGTCACACAACGCATCTCCCCACTTAAGAGAAGCGTTGCGTGACGAACTAAGGAGACTATGGTCAAAGTTCTTCTACACTTTCAAGGCCTTCTCCTGAAAACGTTATTTTACGGACGTCATTGTCAAGAGGAGAACAGCATCTTACCGTGAACCACACTTTAGTGCCCAACAGAACTTTCTCTCCAAATGCGACCTTCATGTAACGAGCCATGAAAATTCCAATCGACGCGAAACCAACCCACGCGATCACCATCAAACAACCTACAAGGAACAGGCAGCGTTCACCTTTTGATCTTGATCTACGCTTAAATCTCCTTACCGCGGTAGGCTAAGCATATTCTATAGGAAAATTCATTACCTGACTCGTGAATTCCATGTTAAATTTCACTTGAAAAACCGATATCGCACGATATCGGTTTTTCGCGTGAAATTTAACATGGAGTTCACGAGTCAGGTTATGAATTTTCCTTGAATCGCAAAGCCTTCTTTTAAAATGAAACGTCTGTGTGAATGTTGCAATATTCAACGCACACTCACGAAAAACCATTCCCGTTGAATCAACGGTCAAGACTGTCAGGAGCGAGCGAACAGAAATCCCGCTAGAATCAGAAAACTTTATTTGAACTTCGTGGTTGGCAAACCCTCATTTTTAAATAGTTTAAACAAGATTTATACCAATGTAACGACGTAATAATGTTGTTTTCTGAAAGTGGTCGTCGCTCCAGTGCAATATCACGCAAAGCCTTGCTTTCAAGAATCCCAATTCCACGTTGAATACCTCGCCTGGGTAACTAATCAGGGTGCGAGAATTCTCTGAGCTATGCGATTCTTAAGTAAATAGAAGACGAGAATAAATAAAACCATGAACAAGAAGATATTGTCTTGATGCGCCATTAAGCTCTCATAAACAGCATTACAAGGATTGTATAGAGATCATTAAGGAGAAATGATATTTCAAGCCTGTGATCTGTTGTCTCACCATGGGTTTGTATGATTTCAGGGCCCTCCTTTTCTGCACCAAGCGTTCCGATGTCAACCACCTTGACTTTCTCAGGACTCGTTTTTGGAGTAGTATAGTGTTTACCGATGACGTCGCCATCTGTTTATTTTCAAGAAGAACAGTGTTAGATAAGGAATGGTTGCGATTTATAAAAATCAACGTCACTTACTCATGGGACCACTTGCATACACAAGATGCCACGACTCCGTCAGGTCCGCCATTTTATCATCTTTCATCTTTCTTCGAAAACTTAAATCAAAAAAAGTAACGAGAGCACATTAAACCAGTTCCAACGTGAGCCAGAAGGCATATGTAGCATGTTAACTATAATTTATTTTACTAAACTAAAGCGCAATTTTATTTAGATATTTACTCTTGAGTAAGACCGCACATATAGACAAGTTTATTTTTTCTGCAGGTTACTTTTAACGATCAAATGGCGGTAGAACGTTAATTTATTCAAACATTTGTGCAAACCTCAAAAAAAATTCGCAACTTTCGACCACGAAAACAGCTCAATTTGAAAGACACTACTACCTCCATGAATTACTAAGACATGGAATATTAAAGTCGTATTTCTTCCTTCTACATTGTAATTATAGTTGGGATATTTTTGGCACATGACTTACCGGCAGCTCAAAACTCCACCTGATGATTTTCCAACATCTAGAACTAAGGACCCAGGTCTCTAGAATTCAACAATATTTTTGGAATCAGTTGATGATATCGAGACGTCTTTCCAAGATTAGTGAAGATTGTCCCAAGAAATAACGTATTCACACTGGGTAAACGTTTGCTGAGACTTAATACTCTTAAAAGTGTAACCATCTGTACTTACAGGGGTGGTCTTGGTAGGAGTATCGTAACCTTTCATAAAGTAGTGGTCCACAGAGACTTTCCTATTAACCTTAGCGCAGATTAAAGCATCGGTACCAGGCTGACGAGCAAAAAAATACACACAACAATTTTTGCAGTCGACAAACATTGTATATTTTCACATCACCAGTGTTCTTTTTTCTTGTAATCTTTGGTAAGACACAAGTATGTCAGAATGACTATCATTATCCGGGAGTATAACTTAAGTGGATTCTACTAAATCGTTTAGACTACTTGAAAAAAAAAAAAAAAAAAAAAA